ACATTCAACCTTGCTCGGTAACTCGCGAAAAATGTACTTTTGTTTGTTTACCGAGAAATTAGTTCATTCGAACTGGAGGGGGTTTAGACGGACCCGGTCCAATCGGTGACATTTGACGGCCAAAACACCAATCATCTTGGGGTATCTAATGGAGTGCGATTGGTTGGATTCACTTGAAGTTACGGCGGATTCACTTGAAGTTGAAAAGGTATAGTGTTATGTTCGGTCTGAACGTACGTTTGACAAGAGCGCCTGTTGCTTAAGTCCCAACAACGTGCATAAAGAACACAACTCTAAGCAATAGTCAGAGCGTGTTTAAAAAATAAGGTTCGATACGCAACCATATACAGGGTAAATTATGCACACGAGAGCGGCACGGTGACACATCAATCAGATTACGTCCTTAACATTCCGATTGATCGATCGGACAACCACCAACTGATTCGATTTTCAGTCGTCTAATCCGAACCCAGCCTACCTGGTGCGTCGCGGGTGTGCTTGTGGCGTGAGGCGTATGCGTGCGCGACCTGACGGGTTGTTTGAGCTTCGTCCTTACATATACATTACCAATGGCAAAAGCAGAATAAACACCAGCTTCAAAATGGCATCAGCAAACAAGTTGAAGCCTCGTTCGTGCATTGAAGGTGATGTCGGTGTTGTATAGGAAGTAGGTACGAATTACGGATCACGAATTGCGGTCGCAACTGAACCACAGAATCGCACTAACAATCGTATACTGGAATCTTCCGCCACGGAGACGCAGGTAAAAGGCCACCAAAGTAACGGTTGATTTATCGAGAGAAATCAATAGGATTGAATAATATGCAAATAGAAATATCACTGATCAAACGGGTATCAACCAATCGCCATCCTTGTTCTTCGAGTCACACACCTTCTATTCTAACTGTTTTATTGTTGATTGATCGATACTGATGGCCCACGGATCAATGTCCAGAAACCGGAATGTGTAGGCGATTGGCTGTCTTCATTTTGGAGAGAGAGAGTTTACTCACTACATTGGGCTATCAGATGATAAATTTCCGGATCGATATCGAAATTTTAACGATCAGATGTATTACTATTATATAGTACTTCATACTTGTCTGATTTCTGATTGTGCGATACAACAATCCTTTTTTGCCAGTGGGCGTAATGCAGCCCGGATGTCCAGTTGCAGTTCAATGTTTACAACCAATAACCATGCACTGGTTTTGGTTGCTGTCTTTTGGCCGTTTAATTAGATAATGGAGCAGAATGAAGATCGTTACAGTTATAGTAATTTTGATGTTTCAATGAGGTGCTCCAGTGATAGTTTAAATATTTGTAACGGAGCTAATGGCACATTTTCCCAATATTTTCGACATATCGATAGGCACATTTGTACACTTAACGAGAAGTGAGTGAATGCACTTTGAGAACAGGACATCAGGGTTGAATACAATGACATAATACCATGGCTTTTTATTTGTATAATACTGCTAGGCTTCCCAGACCCAAGCAGGCGAGCCCTTAGTGTACCACTTCTAGAGTCTCGAGCTATTCAAAGATGAAACGATAAAGAAATCGAAGCATGGAGTTCGTAGCCTATTGAGAGTTGATGACTGGTAACTCAGTCCATACACACTTCGACTGAGGTCACACAATTCGGGTGTCCAGTACGCCTTTTATCCAACGGATGCAAGTGAGCGCAGTGCTGTATGCTTTATGCGCCGTCTATTTGAAGCCGTATTTCATCAAACTCCCTCGAGCTGTATACCGATGTTAAGCCAGACCTTTAAAGAAAGCAAGGCAACATTTCTTTCCTTATATATTAAGTAGTAGAGCCTAAAGCATGAGAATACAGGGAATATGGCCTCCTAAATAAAGGCTGTTTGAAACATGATCTTCCAATAGCTATTCGAGAAGCTTTTTGAATTCACATTCAACGTGAAACCTGAGACATCTAATATACTGGGGCCCTTCGGAAGAAGTCGGAACCAAAATGAAATTTTAGACTAACATCGGGTTCGCGGGAGGGGATTTTTACTGTCCTCATTGATGCGGATGGTCGGAATGACAGTTTTGGTTTAAGTTAACGAAAAAGCTAAGCTTTTGTTGATCCACGGCTCTTTGGCCGATTTTGGTTCACTATGTTCCTAGCTCGGTCGAAACGGCCCTAGCCTCGAAAGCGGGACAGCTTGGAAAGAGTGTGCTAGCCAAGTTTAATGCCCGAGTTTATGAATAACAAATCCAATAATCGAAAGCGAAATAAATATGCACCCATCACGTCTTAATGTTCATAAGACGCCGGTTGTAAATGTGCATGATAATAAGGCCGATCAACGGTACTCAGAGCGGTGTACGAACTTGTGGAGTTAACAAGCTTGGACCCTTTTGATCTGTATACAGTAAATTTATCAGCTCCCTCCAATTAATAAACATTCTTTGTCGAATTTCAAACTGCTGATAGTAGGAAAAGCGACGAATTATAATGAGCATGATGAACACGAAAATATTTTCTCAAAATGTTGGAAATGTTCTAGGTTTTGAGATACGACCAAGCTTTACAAGTTGGCAATAACAAAGCAATCCAACTACTGGCTTGCACACCTCATCTTACATTGGATATTAAACTTGGCTTGACTGGAGACTCGAATCATGCGCACGGGGATGTCTGCCAACGAACAAACAGAATGATTAAAACGCAAACAATGTTAATCCCCGTATTTCAGGCGATGATGCGAATCTTGATTGCTAAAGATCTCCAGATAGGCTCTTATAAGTATCGATCCATCGTGCGAATCTCAAGGTTAACGTGTTTGTGAATTTGTTTAGGCTGAACAAATAAGCTATTAGAATCCCTCCTGTGAACCAACTTAGCTCGCCTACAAACCACTAATATCTGCATTTGATGCCATTTATTACGTGACCTATTTGGTGACACATGTTCAATGGAGGCGGTGGTGTTTTTGCCGTTAATAGAGATAAGATTAGGCTGCTCGATTGTTTTTTCACCTTCGCAATTACGGTTAAGATTTTGATGTGTGTTGTAGATCTTAATAAGAAATTTTCACTTATATTTTGCCGAGCTACTTGTCTTTCTCCACCAGTCCTGATTATTCTGGGTTGAACTTCTGTTTTAGTTCTGTATTTCTTTTTTTACGCCTTACCATTCCATTCTTCGCCTGTTGGTTGTCTGCAAGGTAATCTAGTCATCGAATACCTTCCGAATAATCACCGTTATTTTGCCCCAAAACAGGTGGTATATGGAGGAAATGTTTGCTCATCCTAGCTCCTGTTTGCCTTTCGTAATACTATTAATCTGTTCACCACCCAATAACTATGCAAACTGAATTCGTTTGTTACATGTTATTCAGCAAGATAACCTCATCGTCTTCTGAGTCGTCCTGGTATTCCTAATTCAACTAAATACTTTACTGTAATCTCGTATCAGAATATTTTCCGATTTAATGATGTTCAGTTAAGAGTTTTCATGTTATTTTTTACTCATTCAGTTTTAAGAGTTTTGCTGACCTACAAACGTTTCCTTGAAATTTAATAATATATGCCCTCTCCTCATCAAGTGGTTCCATTTTTTCAGGGATAAAAGAGAGGATTTTGTCGTTTTTGCTTGGCCCCGTGAAATTGTTTCCCGTTGTAATGATGTAGACTTAAATGTTGTGATTGGTCTCTCGGGTTGGAAAGTTCTGCTCACCGTCTACCTGGACCGAGTATTTTTCACCAAAGTGTGAAGGCGATAAGCTAATGTTTGGTGCTGCAGCTGAATCTCGAGCAGCTAGCTCATTTAGGGGCGATGAATATAACTAAGGTGTATCAACTGGTTCCAGTAATCATTGATCGCACTACTTAGTGGCTTTATTAGGTGATGGGGTGCATTGGGCAACCTGGATGTGCGAAATATACCCAAGGGGTGTCTGATCTAGGTAATAGGACACCAGCCCCCCAATGAACTGCGGTCTTCACAAACTATTCTGCTCTCTTGTGGTCGAGGCTTTGGTTAACCAAACTGTAATGATTGTAGTAGTAGTACTAGCAATACGCACTGAACTCGGAATACGAACCACGCAATACGGATCACGGAATTCAAATCAAGGATTAGCAATCACGGACTGGANATGTCCTACGTAACCGAGACGCGAGGAAAAGACCACAGGAGTAGTAGTTCATTTATTGGAAGAAATAAGGAAGATTAAATTATATATACAAAACATGCTCATTGATCATCCGAGCTTCTGCCAATCGCGTTCCAGTATTTCTGGCGTTGTTCTGCTTTTATCTGGGCCGCATGGTCTCTGATTGGCTGGTACAATCTACCTATAATATGTAGTCCAGAAGCAGTGACACGTACGCGCTTTGCTGACGTCATCCGTGAAGTTTGACTGATCACATTTGTCCTAAAACTGTAACGCGTTGCTCCAGGGTATGCGTCATTTCGTAGGCCCGGATCACCACACAAACGCATTGATTGTGAATCCCCAACCAAATCACTTGTTTTGGCTAAGGTGACATGACAACATTTCTCCCACTAATAAATCAACAATTAATTTCTTTTTAATAACAATTTTCTAGTGTGATTTATTGGACACACCCGGAACTTAGACGAAAGTGAACGATTTTTATGGACATTTCAAAATAAGGAGGATTTTCTGAACAAAGATCATGATCTGTAGTAGACAGACGTTTTCGTTCGTATGGCTTACCAGTTCGTCCCAATCCATCTTCCGAAACTACTACCACATCGTTTCATGTAATGAGTACATATAAGTGCATATGTTCTCGGTTTGTATGATCCGAAAATACATGAGAATAAAGCACAACCCACACAAATCGTTGGGCCATTAATTCATCAACAAATTGTTTGCTTATACCAGTAGTATCTAGTCAGTGTATTATGAATGATTTGATTGGCATGTGTTTCAATGCACGTGTGTTATGTTTTCAAAATGTCCCAATCGGGTGCACGTAAGGAAATCTTGAACCTAGCCCCGACTGTGACTCACATATTGCACTGATCAAGACTAAATGAACTGCGTGTTTTAATGTCCGATTTATTCGCCTCGTGACTTTTGTGTCTAGAAACACAAGTGTTGTTGGTTTCCACCTCTGTATCTCATGAAGTAGAAACCAACAACACTAGAGTTTCTGGACATAAAAGTCACGAGGCGAATAAATCGGACAGTACAACGCTCAGTTTACCGAAAAGCGAAAGTAGATGAACTGCGAGTGAAGTAACCAAAAAAGCCACGAAAATTTTTGTGTGCGCCATAAAAGGTATGCAAATTTGTGAAAAACGTCTCACTTCACGTTGATTTCCTACTTAAGAGCTGTTGATTATTAAAATAGTTGTATATATTATATTAGGTATGGATACAAAGGATCCTTCTGTTCAATTACTGTTTCACCATAGATACTCGCTATATGAGGGTGTTTTGGAATGTGTGTGTGAGTAGCGTTTCGTATAATGAATGATCAGGGATCGAAATTCTATAAATGGTGATTAAAAAATTGTGATTAAATAATAAGCTGCTAACAGTAATCTAGGGATGAAGTTTCAAATAAAGAAGAGTAAATACTACATTTATTGAGAAGTACTGTGTGATGACTACCTAAGTTGCACTGAAAAGCTGTTTCACCCTGGTTTAGACCCGCTTTTTCAAATCAAAATTAACAAAACAGAATATAATGGAAAAACAGTACAAAAACGAAACAAAAATGTTAAAAGGTTATCCGACTAATGCATTTTGCTTATCAAAGTCGCTGGCTGTTAAACAGATTTGATAGTTTCTATGCACAAATGTATTCGATCGGAGAGTATACAGAAACGAGATCGGATATTCAAGTAGAAGTAGCAACCGATATGGTCAGCAGTGAGCAATGATGTGATGGGGATTCTATTCACAACAATCGACCCTGGTTGCCTCCTGACTGCACTCAGAGATTCAGTTGTGTGACCCCGACCCTGCTCGTTCTATAAAGATTGTTCTTCGGACGTATACTGGAAATCTGTAGGCAGAGGTAGTCATCATTTGACCCAGGGTATGCATCCTATCTGTTCTGCTGATCATTGAATTGTAAGGTTGTTCAAGACGAGTACTAAAATCATTTCCATTCCTGGGTGATCGCCTAGCTGAATCCGCTGCAACCTTCGGTTTCGTTGGTAATCAGCAAACTCCCCAAGATAATCGTCTCTAATGAACGTGACTTTCCCAGTGATAACTCCTAATAAGCTTTGTCTTCTGCACAAAATCTTCGTGGTCTAATATAAATGCTATTCCAATTGAAGATAAATGAAAAAATGTAGTACAAACTTTAAATAGCGCATAAAAGTGAACTACCAAGGTTCTCTCGAAATTTTATGATCAGTCATTGGAAACCCTCAATGTGCTCAAACAAATGAGTTTTTTTATTCATCCATCAACTGGAGACATAATGTTGGTACTTTGTTTGTACGTTTCCAAGTGAAGAACATTTCGAGAGCCTTAATCGAACATCAACGACGAGTCTCTATTTGGGGGTTATTCCATGCTAAAGGGTAAAAGAAACATATTCGTTCAGTTGTCTTAGAAGGGAGACCATATAACTTCCAAGTTCAGAAAGATGCTGCACTATGGTGTTTTAATAAAGCTGCTGAGTTGTATTTTCTTGCCCGCTCATAGATGGGTTCGGTGCTCCAGATTACTAAGCTTGAATTCTCAGTCTGAAATAGTCATTGTGTAACGAGAAGGCGAGCTGGCTGGGAAAACGTCCATTGATCCAATTCTGGTGCGTAGATAGAAATCCATGCCTGACTCTTGCTCCCGTTTGGGACAGTTTCTGGTTCCATGGCCAAACAATGTAGAAGACCAGGGAATTTACACGTGGTAAACCGGAAACGATCCAATGGAATGTGATCAACTTCACAAATTCGTTCAACTGCGGTGCACCAGTAATCACGACGATTGACGCCGAGTGGAATAACGAATTCCACAAAAGTAGATGCAAAGGTGAGAGAGCTTGGATACCACCGACGAAGAAAGAGAAAAATACCGGAATGTGTGCTGCAGGACGAAGACGAAGCTGTATCCAGTAAGGACACAGAGCCGGTGAGGATTGAGTTCGAGATAGGAACGGGAATGGAGAATGGGGATAGTCGGTCGTCGAGTAGCTGAAGTAAGACGCCCTGGTGCGGATTTCGGAATGAGGCAAGCTGACTGTTTGGATCCAGTAGGGGTCCTGGACTACACTCTGGCAGCGTGCATTTGCGCAGACATAATCGATGTCGAGGGATTTCCAGTTGATAGATCTTTTGTAGCATAACAGCGGCCACATCAATCACGTGATCTACCGTCCAGTTTATTTGACAAAGAATTTGCAACGGTTCTGCCCAGAGCGGAGAAGAAGCCACGGGAGAGGTGACACTGGACAGGTTGAGGATGCCGGTCAGGTCGAGCACGTTCACACTGAGAGACACATCCGTTGAGTCGATACATGGTGTCACAGAAACCACCACTTCTGAATGCGATCGTAGAGGTCCCGAACCGAACGGTGAGAAGCAACCTTTGGAAACCTTTACACATCTGGGATCAACGTCCAAATATTCGCCTAAATGCCGACTGAGATCATTCACATAGACCCATTTATCCATATAGGCACGATAGGTCGGCACACACGCGTCCGAAAGGTGGGAGTTATCGTTGTAGGCTCTGGACTCTAGGTTAAGAGCACGGTGGGCATGTGGATGAAAGGCTGCCGGACAGCCAGGACAACGATTCGCTGATCCAGATCTGCCATCGAGCTGCTGATTTTCCGACCCATCTCCCGGTTGCACAATAAAGTATTCGTTTGAGGAGTGTTTTGAATTGGTCAATTGGTCCGTCGGTTGCCCATAGGGCGGAGGCATCGCACTGTCTCTAGCTGGATCGAGATTAGTCAGGCTGGAGAACGAATTACTACGTTGCCGCAAATTAGGCTTGGATGTTTCAGAACGGGAATGACCATTGAGACCGGAAGAACTAGGCACCCCATCTCTTCACTTACAAATGCGATGCAGTGAAACGGAAAACAGATGGAAAATTGGACTAAGTTGTGGTGTCCCTCCGTGGTTTTCATGAACAGCACAGGCACACAATTGCCATTCGAGTGAGAGCTCTTGCCTCAATCAGTCGTCCCGTGCTTTACACCACCAATAAGATTGGTGTCATCCGGTCACTTCAGGCTTAGAAATTTAAAATTTACGAAAGCACCACAAATCACGCACATCAGACCACCACTTTCGTGCCCAGAGATATTCCAGTGTTACGCTGTCACGATTTTCGGTTTCTCCATACGGTGTAGACAGGTTCTTGAAAAAGGCTAGCAAGGTCTAACATTGTAGAGTTCATGAATCTTATGGTACCGCAGGTTTTACGAATAGAAACAGTGTACGGATTGAGGCTGCCTCGTAGAACTGGGGTTTTTCCGTCCTAATTCAAGTTCCTACATGAAAAGAGCCTTCTCACATTTAATATTGCAGATTGATACCTAAGCAAGCTCAGTCTCAAGCATTTAAGTAAAAAAAATACACACTAGCCATCACAATGTAAGTGACAAAAACAAAAGGACTGACTCAAAGTGATCATGAACATTTGCATTTTAGAATAAACCGCATTTGGACTGCTGCTGGTTTACTCGGTGTGTTTGTTTTGTACGTACAATAGATAATGAACACGGAAATTTCCGAGGACCTGAAAGAGGGATGGATAGTGTCACAGTTAGCGGCTAACTACAGCGTATTACTCGGTTCACTAAGTGAAGTGTCGCTGGGGTTCGCAAGAACATTTCCTACAACTCTAAAAAAATGTATGGCAATCATTAAGTGTTACAAGTAAGCTTTTTTAGTGAAAAGTAAAATAACCGAAGCCATGATCACTGGACCTAAGCATAGACCTAGGACAGAGGAGCAGTAAAGTAAAACAGCGAAAGCTTTAAAAAAGATTAAAGTGACGAAAACCAATTTATGGGGCAGGAAGTCGTTTTAGTTTCCGAATTCGAACGAATGTACGCCACACTTGCTGCCGTGATCTACCTAAAAATTGTTATTATAAAAGCGTTTTTATCAGTTACCTGAGTTCACTATAAAGGGTGAAACTCTTATTTATGATTACTGGGCCGACGAGGTAGAACGAGCACGGGACCCTGGTGTGTATGTTCTAGGGGGTTGTTTAGGTTTAGAGACAGAACAAATTGGAGAGAGGGCTACCCTATCTGGGACAGGTAGTCGGTACAGAAACTTCAATGGAACGAGGATGAAATCCATTAGTGGTGCACAACATTCTCAGTATGCATTAGTTTGCCAATTAGTTCTGACCGTGGTGCATCCGCCAATCAGATCTGGACCTTTTCAATCCAGAACTGGAATCAGATCGCGCGACTACTACTTTCGCTAGTTATACACACACATGGGTGCACGCAGATACAGATTCCACATTCAGCCTGAACAGCTCCAAACATTTAGCGGTGTAGACCGATCAGTTGTGAGACCTTATTATTTCCCGGGGTTGCTTCCACTTAATGAATGTTTGAACTTGTTTTCAAATGACCTCTATGAGCTCAGTAAAATAACTTGTTTTGTACACCAATAAAGAGTAGCTTCTATGGAATTATCTAACAGACTACTTTCGCACGTTACGCTTGAGCTTTTCAGAAAGGCACTAGGAACATCCCAGATGTGTGCGGCCAATGTGCTTTGTGTGTGGCGATGGTGTAGGTTGGGGAGTGAGGGGCTACTAAAAGTAATCTGAAGTTATCTACTAAGGACTGGAAGACATGTGGTGTTTTGCAGTGTTTTATTTAACAGTATTAGATAAACAACCACGGGGTTCAGTTTTGAATCCAAATACTCATAGTTGATGCGGAGGCATTCACCAGCGAAACAGAGCACGTTGATACATGAAAATTATTGAAGAAGTGCTTAATCGAAAACTGTGCTCAAGGTCAATTTATTGGAGCTCCACACACAATGCAGCCTCAGGTGTGTTTAAGAATCTCTGTGAATCATTTCAAGGGCAAAAAATTATACAAAATACGGATGAAATAGTTGTAAATTCACTGTCGCAAGCATTTGTAATGGCAGTAATTTAAAAATTCGTAATGCTGGGAATGGAAACAAATACGTTCACAATGGTAATTGTTGTCTCTATTTGCGCTTGAGCTCTAAGCTTCTAAAGTTTATCAGGTCTGCAATCTGAAATTACCCATAGGAAGTAGTGAAGAACAGCCAAATAGATGTGTGCACTGTCCAGTTTTGGCTTCCGGATTGACTGATTGATTGATTGATTGTTTTAGTTTGCGTAATGTGTTCCAATGCATTTAACTGGTTAGAAATTCATTTTCTCCCAAAGAGTGAAACCCACACCCAAGGTCATCAACAGGGCCTGGTGATTGTCAAAAACCGAATGGGTTAATCCAAACATTCACCGTCCAAATATCATGAATGTTCGTCAATTGAGTAGAAGATAAACTGGAGCTCATCTGAAGCTACAGATATATTATACATCTCAAACTGAAAAACAGATGCAAGTGTAATGGAAAAACCACAACCTCAGAACATTAAATTTCTGCATAAATGAATATTTGTTTGGTCAAAGATAACCAATATTCTCCTGGGATCCTTATTTACAGGTCTTCTAAGCAATAGTTCGGCAATTATAGTAAACCAATAATGGCACAATCGGGTTTTGTTAAGCTTCAATAAGGAACAAGACGTTTGAAGTCATGCCAGATTTCAGTTTTCCCTGGAACGAGGTACGCACATAATCACCTGACATCATTATCTAACATTCATATCTATGTGTACACTACACGTACACGAACTAATGCAGGCGTTACAGATAATGGCTATTTCCGAGGATAAACTTTTCCACACAATATGTGCTAATGTTTCGTTGTCAAAAGTGTTCGACATAGCCGATTGCACTTACCTTACTTAAAACTAACCGGAAACTTCTGTCGATTGATAACACTCGACAGGAGTTCAGAGCTCTACGAGCAGTATTTATGACATAATTATCTATAAGTCTTCCATGTAGATGAGATGTTTTGTTGCCACTTCAAGCCCTTTTGATAACTACAGCTGACTGATTGTGAGAGATACATTATAGTGACGTAATGGCAGTAGACAGGAAGAACAAAAGACATCTTTGACTGTAGACTAATATTTTCAGTATAAACATTTCGAAAACGGGCGGTAAGTGGTTCTAAGCGATCACTTGTTCGATATGGAAGTTTCAGTGCATTTGTGGTCTTCTCTATGCTCTGCTAAATTTAGATTCCAGAAGAAATGATGATACTGTTTTCTCAGAGTATTTTTGAAATGCACGAATACTACTGCGATCGGATTCCTAATAGTCACAATGGTTGTCCGAACACACTCCCAAGTGGTTATTACAGTCAATGACGCAACAAAATCTCGGAGGTCAATTTGATAAGATAAATTCAAGGTCATCAATTGCAAAACATCTCATAAGAGCTGGACACATCGTTGACTCACTTTTGTCGTTTAAGCCGTTATTATTTAACGTGAATCCAAGGCTCTTAGCCTTCAGCAAAGCGATGTTAACCAAGTAACGTAATCCAATTTTGTTTGTGCAAAAGTTGTTGACGCAACCAGTCAAATTGCCGTGGAACTGATTCCGAATCCCTGTCCGTCTAGTTACTGCAGTTATTAAAACTCTCCTGTTTAAATACCAGGTTGTTTTACGTCGTAGCGACTGAGGAGATCAAAAGTAATCGGACCAATAAAGTAAAACATTAGCAACTAACTTGATCGTCAATATCCAACGTAAAAGGACAAAAATATTTAGTAGATAGAGGATTTTTATTGCTCGCCATTGTGAGGCCTAAAACTTAAGGGGTAAACCTCTTGCTCAGTAGACACCATGGTTCACTTGTAAAAAAACAAGATTGGGCCTGATGACACGGAGACTATCACAAAAGTTAGGAGATGGGTTTCGCAACTCGGATGCTGGAACTCAAAGCACCCCAGTGACTGCAACCAAACTCACTTGACCACCGTACCCCGTCCACGACCACCACCACCATCACCCCTAAATGATCGTGGAGTAAAAGTGCCACATGAAGGTAAAAATCTATGGCACGCATAATGATTAGCTAGACTCTGGTGCGTTAATCTTGACACAGCTCTGTGTCTCTCAGAACTTTGTAAGGTCTTCTGTCATATGATGTAAACTGACGTGAATGAACTTTATAATAAAGTACGAAAATCGATCATAATGATGTATGTAATGAAAATACTTACCGCAAGCAGAACCATTTTGTGATAAGGTCAAAGAATAAGTACTATTCCAATTGCCCAACACTGAATATTATAATCAGATAGTTTTCCCGTTTAAATAACTTCGTAGTTGTTGCATCACAATGACCGTATACCGTCCGAATAAGCAGGATCAACAATCTGGCAGTCAAGGATCGTCGGAATCGAATATAACAAGCCTTTATCCATATATTTGTTGTCGTAGTCCTCGGTCGAGTTTTCTAATAAAATCGGATCAGGTAGGCTGATCACGTATCTATATACAGGTCCAGAGCAAAACATACTATTTTACTGCCTCAAAAAGGAACTTAACTTACCACTTTTCAATTACCTCCATATTATGTTTTGAGTAATAGTTGGCAATGATTCTTTGATTTGTATGTGGAAAAAGTAGAACTGACCACATGTTGACGTCATTTACAAAGTACCCCAAAACAAATCGAAGCATGTTCGCAAACGTCACTTGGCAACAGCGGAAGCTGTGCCAATCCAAATCATAGACCCACCCCTGTGCAAACAGAAGAAGATGGTTGCCACCTGAGTTGCCTTGGCCCCAACCAAACCTACAGATGACCCCAACTGTGACCTCA